TTGCTGCAATCACGGCGTGACCGGCAGCACCCTTGCCCGAATGCGGTTCGTAGCTTGTCTTGCCTGCGGTCTGTTGGTATCCCATGCCATGACTTTTCCCCAATGATCGTCTCCCCAGCGGGACAGGAATGCAATCCGAGCGAAAAAGAGCTTGTCCATGTGGGGGGCGTCGCTGCGATTTCCGGGGCCATCAGTCGATGTCCCTGGCCAAAGTTACGACAGACTCGTCTGCGTTCTGGGCCAAGACCGTTATCAAACTCCCCAGTCGAACAGCGACACCGGGCCTGCGGACACAGAATAAATATCAGGCGACATCCTCGCGTGTTTTGTTTCTTGCGTCTGGATGAGATCCAGCCAGGGCCTTTTCTTCAACCCTCTGCCTTGGAATCGCCACTTTTAGGGTGCAGCACGTTGCAGATCACAACCTTTGAGACCCTGAGACCCGACTTTTCGCTTACCACCTTGACGTGCATAGCGTCATCGCAACGTGTGACGAACCGCATCCCGGTCTTTGAAGGGTTGTCTTCCGGCCCTTGTGGTCATTCTTGAATCTTTGAGAGAACCGTACGCATTTTCGACTTCTTTCGACCTCTACGCGCCCGTCAAATTCCCGAGATCGACACGATGGATATCGATACTGCGACCACGAGCGCGCGGCCTGAAAAGGTCCATGGCTCCAAGTTCAGATATTGGGCTGATAAGCTGGCCGTTGAGTCGGAGCCCGGCTTGACCAAGGCGCAGCTGATGGTATGGCTACCTACCACCTTGAGAAACCGCTTCGCGTGCCGAACTGAGACTAACGGATGCGTCCATTTAGCTGACGAACCACGATCTCAAACCGTGAGTAGTCGGCGACAGCGGCAAAACCGCTTATCAACACCCTGGACATCTTGCTGACAGGTGGACAGTGTCGAGCCCGAAAGACGGCAATGGGGTCCGTGGAACTTTGTGGCATTCTGGGTCGCTGACTCCTTCAACGTCAACACGTGGATGATTTCGTCTTCCATGGTTGTGGGTGGTCTTTCATGGTGGCAGTCCTGGCTATGTGTTTGGCTGGGATATGCGATTGCTGGTGCCTTCATTTGCTTGACTGGTCGCATCGGTGCTGTCTACCACATCGGTTTCCCCGTTGTCAACAGATCATCTTTCGGCATCTGGGGCAGTTTGTGGCCAGTTTTCAACAGAGCTGCGATGGGTGAGTTGGTCGAATCATGAGCGCGGGGCCCTCTTGCTAACCACCCTCCTTCTAGCCTGCATCTGGTACGGTGTTCAAGCTTACATTGGAGGCAACTGTGTTTACCTTATGATCCGTTCGATTTGGAAATCTTGGGTGAGTAGCAGTCAAAACAGAGACTTCTTCGCAGCAAGCCAGCTAATTGTCTCTAGGATCGCGAAACGATTAACCCTGGAGGCTTCCCCGCCGACTCCGGTACTTCGACCGCGGAATACGTCTCCTTCTTCATCTTCTGGTTCTGTTCTTTGCCAGCCATTTGGTTCCCTGTTCACAAAATTCGCCATCTTTTCACCGTCAAGTCTTACGTGGCTCCCTGCGCCGGCATTGCGTTCTTGATCTGGGCCGTTGTGCGCGCCGGTGGTGTTGGCCCCATCATCCGCCAGCCTGCAAAGCTCCAAGGCAGTGACCTTGCCTGGGAATTTGTCAAGGGCGTCATGTCCTCCATCGCCAACTTCGCGACGCTCATCGTTAACGATCCCGATTTCTCCCGTTTCGCTAGGAAGCCCCGCGACGCTTTGTGGTCTCAGCTTATCACGATTCCCACTGGATTCGCCTTCACTTCCTTCATCGGCATCATCGTCTCGTCCTCATCGACCGTCATATACAACTTGGACGAACCCATCTGGAACCCGCTATCTCTCCTTGAGAGATTCATCGACGATGGTGGCTCCGGCCAAAGATTCGGCGTTTTCGTCATCGCGAGTTCCTTCGCTTTGGCTCAACTCGGTACGAACATTGCGGCGAACTCGGTCTCTGCAGGAACCGATATGACGGCCCTTTTGCCCCGCTACCTCAGCATCCGCCGCGGTGGATACATCTGTGCTGCTGTCGGTCTGGCCATGTGCCCTTACACCCTGCTCACCGACTCGAACAAGTTCACAACCTACCTCTCGGCGTACAGCGTTTTCCTCAGCTCCATTGCCGGCGTCATGTGCTCCGATTACTACTTTGTCAGAAAGGGTTACCTCGAGATCAAGGAGCTCTACGATGCTCGCAAGGCTGGGCCTTACTTCTACACCTGGGGCATCAACTGGCGCGCTTATGCCGCCTACATTGGCGGAATTCTCATCAACGTTGTTGGTTTTGCTGGAGAGATTGGGCGTGATGTTCCTGTTGGTGCCAAGTACATCTACAACATCAACTTCTTCGCTGGCTTCATCGTTTCAAGCGGCATGTACTGGGGTCTGTGTAAGATTTTCCCGGTTCCCGCGACCAGCGACAGGTGGATGGAGGTAGGCGAGGAGATTGACGACATCCGGGTAGCGTACGACAGCAACAGCCAAGACTTTGACGAGGAGGCTGTAACTGGTACTTCAAAGGGCCTTCATAGCCCGAAGCTCTGAAGTTGATGGAGGGGTCATATGTCTGAGGAGTTGACGATTTGGATTTTGTTGGATGATACCACTATTGCGAGCGAAAAGGTGTGACTGTTGTCTTAGGAATTAGAAGAGCTTTTGCAGTTGAATTGAAGCATCAGGGCCGATATACCGCTTCTTAATGCCAAACTGTGTTTTGAGTGATAATTACCACGGAAGGCCAACCTCACAACGCATTGTAGGCTCTTGCGGACTACATACCCATGGCATCAGATTACGAGGTAGCCAGACACTCAGCTAAGCCAGGTCGGCAATTACTAGTGAACGCCTCAGCAACCACCGTGTCCAGGGCTTTACACACTGTTGCAGTAACTCTAGCCCACGAATGAGGAGCAACACTGGTCTGCATCTGTGGGGCCATCAGCAGCTAACCAACTTCAACTCACCGCCAGCGGAGCGTCCAGAAGCAATGAAGTTGATCAATGTGCATACTCTTGAGATTGAAACATTCAATGCAGGAGAGCAAGTTCCAAGATACGCCATTCTATCTCATACATGGGGCAGTGACGAGATCAGCTTCCAAGAATGGATCACAAATTTCGGCAACCCCTCTCATGAGTATCTGGAGAAGGATGGGTACCTGAAGATCATCAATGCTTGCTCGAAGACGCGGGATGACAAGCTACGTTACCTCTGGGTAGACACCATCTGTATCGACAAATCGAGCAGCGCCGAGCTCTCAGAGGCGATCAACTCCATGTTTGCGTGGTACGAGCGGGCTACCGTCTGTATTGTCTACATGGCTGACGTTGAGTGGGAGGATGAGCTCATTCATAAAATTCACACCAACCAATACTCAAGCTTTGGCTCAAGTCGATGGTTTACACGAGGGTGGACCTTGCAGGAGTTGTTAGCTCCCCGGAAAGTTTTCTTCTTCACCAAGGAATGGACAGAGATCGGCACCAAATCTGAACTAATGTTCAAAATCTCAAAGATCACCGGTATCGACGTTAGTTACCTCACCGATACTAGAAGAATCTGGTCGGCAAGCATTGCCGCACGTATGAGCTGGGCATCCAATCGACAAACAACACGACCTGAAGACATGGCTTATTGCCTGCTCGGCATCTTCGACATCAACATGCCGCTGTTGTATGGAGAGGGTTCGCGGGCTTTTCTACGGCTGCAAGAGGAAATCATCAAGTCTGCCGATGACCACACCATTTTCTGCTGGACCTGGGATGCAGACAAGACCCCTGATCAATGGCAGAGCGTTCTGGCTCCTTCTCCATCAGTCTTTTCAAATTCAGGCTCTTTCGTGGCCACGCACAGAAACTTTGAGAGCGCGCCATATCAAGTCACTAATGTCGGATTACGCATCAAGCTTCCCGTGGTAGCTGCAGTCAACTGTCTCTGCGCCATGCTGTCCGTCATTAGCACGGATGATGCGGACCCGGAGCACAAACGAATGATGTGCCTGCCTCTAATGGAAGAAGGCCACATTTACCGAAGATGCCCGTTCCCTAGTCGCCCATTTCCCGTACACCGATCTATGGTATGCGAGACTAAGGAAATGTACCTTTTGTACAAGATCTCGAGGAATACAGAGGATCTCATGCCATGGCCGTATCGCCATCTGTTTGAGTATGGCTTTCACATCAACATCCTCGACGAATCATTTTCCACAGACATAAACCGGCAAATGATTACCTCGGTCGACTGCTTGGTTCCTCAGCATAAGCAGACCCCCACATCGCATATATCAAGGCCAGTGTACAGCACAGTTGGCTTTCGGTCAGCCCTGACACATGCTTTTGGAGGCTTGATACTAAGAATCAACTATCGCAATGAGAGGTTTCTCGTCTTTCTCTCAGTGAGTCAAAGCGAGGGGAACTTGAAATGGAACTGTGAGGTTCTTAATCCCAAGTTCGCGGACCACGACGTTGATGATTGGCTCCGTGAATTCGAGGTGCATAGCAACAGCACAGAGAACATGCCCGACTGTAGCTTCCATTCAGCGCTTTCACCGAGTGGCACCGTACAGATACTCATATCACTGGATGGAGACATCGTAAGCGAGGATGGTCGACGTATTCGAGTTATTTACCTTGTACTTTCGAGTAAAGATGACATGAGCCGACGTATGCAGGATACATGGGGTACGTTGCAGCGCAGTTTAGGTGATGTTAAGGCACGACGGATGTTTTCATAAAGATATAAAAGGCGGACTGCATATACTACAATGGCGATTGATTTATTAAGCTCAATATAAACCTATATGAATGATAACGTAATGGGCGTAGGATGTGATCATTCAAACCCACGAGGTTGCATCAACTGGTCCTTTGACTATATGCTTGAACGGTTGAACCCGTCCTGTGACTCTCAATCGTTATTTCGAAACGACTCTGCAGCGTTCAAACCATGCATCAGACATAAATATCAATGTCCTATCTGTGAGTGCAATCATGCAATGACGCTGCCATGTCCTCCATCATACCACGCATACTATCCGTATGGCTTTCCAGTATGGGAACAACTCTGGCACCATTGCCTTCTGCGCGAGCAACAATTTCAGCTTCATTGTGGACTGACGGCGGCGCAAAGATGGTCTTTCCAACGGTGATCATACCCATCTGATCCAGAGGCTCCACGGGATACGCGTTGGTAAGCAGCTGATCGGGTACCGAAAGTCTACCCAAAGCTTCTCGGAGAAATGGGGCCAATTCGCCGCGAATACATGCTTGATGTAACTTTATCTCGTCCTTCCCCTTGGCGAAGTAATCAGCATATAGCTGGCGGAGTCGCTGACGCTGTCTCGGCGTCTTGCAGTTCATGAACCCGTAGTCGACGGCAACAGCAGAAACCGGCCCAGTTCCCTCCCATTGAGCGTACCTCTTAAGTTGCCAGACACTTTCATAACTTTGCCCGACGACTTTCATTAGGCCCCTGAAGTTGCGAAGTCCAGCAATTTCGGTAGACAGGCCATGCTTTTCGAACAAGAATGGAATAGTGGAGTGCGTTATGGCGCTCCAGAACTCATCGCGACATGTCTCGTGGAGAAGCTTCCGGTAGGCGCGCCGCATGTGCAACAAGCTCTGCCAGTTGGGAGCCGTACAGAATCCAAGGTCAATCCAATTGTCCTCGTCCACGTTAGGAATCAGACCAAGCTTCATCTGTGTCCAAAACACAAAGGCTTGGCGCTTCGCGAGAGGACGAATATCCGTCATGATGGTGTCGCAGAGTTGGGGAGGACACCACTGGCTCGCCACGTCACAGGAAATATTCCCAAAAACAGGACATTGCGAGTTGGTACCGAAGCCTTGGAGACGTTTGAGCCAAGCGGCATCGTCAGCCAGGCCGGTCTCATGGCAGCTCGATATCAGGAGCTTCTGTAAGTTGTCGTCCTCGCATGCCTTTCGAAGCTGTTCGTCTGTGATGCCGTTGTGGACGATGTGGCAGTAGACACGGAAGAGTCGCGCTCGATCGGCTCCTTTAGCGAAGAACTTGAACCCGAAGGTGTGAGAGATTTCCTCGTCCATTGGGAAGAAGCGCTTGCGGCACGCGACCACTAGACGTGCTGCGGCATCTGTCGTAGGAAGATTGGTCGCATCGTCTATTCTAGGGTTGAATTAGAGATCAATTGTTACCGGCGATTGGTTCACATGCTTACTTGATGTCTTCGTCCTCAACTTCGATCTCAGAGAAGCGGGAAAAGAAGTCGGCCTCTCTTGGGTCCACATCTTCATACCGGAACAGCGATTTATCTACCGTCTCTGGTATGAACTGACAGTACGCAGCTAACGTGTTGATTCCGGTTGCCATTATGGACTGCGTATGACTCGCCCCTCAGCTACTGAGCATCTTGTTGATGTAAGGAAGTCTTGCCAAGAGGATACATGAACCAGACTAGCAGAAGTATAGTTGGCGAGGTGAGTCGGGGTAGATCATGGTGGTGAGCGGGGGTTTATAGGTACTTTCCAAGAACCGTAAGCAAGTATCAAGAACTATGGGACGAATTTGGTGTCTGGCTGTGCCTGCATTCGAAATGTTTAGAAGCAAATGGCAAAACAATAACACACATGGATCATGAACGCTAACTCTTGTACATGAAACACTGAAAAAGAAAGCAAAAAAAGAAAATGGATCGTAATTGCTGAAGCAATTACATGTCGGCTGTAGCCCTTACGCATACCATCCTTCCTCTTCCTCTTTCTATCTGGCTCTGCGCCTTTACCTTTCCCGCGTCACTTCAAATAATGGCTGAAGGTTATTCTTAGCACCTACTATCGCGCGCTTGAGGGGTCTAATCGCTGATACTAATTGCGCAAAGCAGAGATCTGCGCACCATGGTAGAATTCGCCATGGAAGAAGCTCTTGGAATGAAGGCTCTTGAAAGGGATAAGCCAAGTTTATCAAGTAAATAATAGTCGAAGGGGTAGTGTTCAAGTGTCAAGCCGTGGCGTGGATCGGCTTACCGAGACACACCGAGCTCGGTGTGCCCCGCACGGAAATGAATCCCGATTACACTAACAAGCCGAGGCAAATCGCCAATTGCCCCTGCAACACATCATCTCTTTACCCCGGACCGCCCCCATCCTCACCTCTCTCAACAATATTTACCGTCGCTCACCAATTCTCACCATTGACATTTTCCAAAGTCCTCAATTGATACCGCCAGGCCTCTTAGCCGTGAAATTACAGCTTTTAGACACTTGAAGGGCCCTCCCAAAGCTGTGTACTCCTCCCTGAAGTCCGCCACAACAACAACATCCGTGCATCACCACAATGGCTTCTCTCAAGTCCCCTCCTCCTCCCGTCCCCGACACGGACATCACCTTTCCCCGTCCCCACATCCTCCAGATAACCCTCAACCGGCCCCGCCATCTCAACTCCATCCCCTCGCCGCAGCACTACGCCCTCTCCAAGCTCTACGAGTGGTACGACGCCGAGCCGTCCCTTCGATGCGCCGTCTTGACCGGCACCGGCCGTGCCTTCTGCGCCGGCGCCGACCTGAAGGAATGGAACGTCCGCAACACCTCCGGCAAATCACCCACCCCGTCATCCGTCAGCACCGGCTCGGGCGGCGCCCTCGCTGCATCAGCCACGGCCTCCCCGGCCCCCGTCGTCACGTCCTCGCACCCCGATGCCAAGCCCGGTGAGAAGTGGCCGTCGTCCGCTGGGTTCGGCGGCCTGAGCAATAGAGGCGGCAAGAAGCCTGTCATCGCGGCCGTCAACGGGCTGTGTCTCGGCGGAGGGATGGAGATGATCATCAACGCGGACCTGGTGTACGCCTCCACCAAGGCTAAGTTCGGGCTTCCGGAGGTCACGATTGGCGTCGTGGCTATCGCGGGCGCGCTGCCTAGGCTCATCAAGGCGGTGGGTAGGCAACGTGCGACGGAGATGGCATTGATTGGCAGGTCGGACTATACACCTGAGCAGATGCTCTCATGGGGTCTGGTGAACCAGGTCGTGGAGCCGGACAGGTTGTTGGACACGGCGTTGGCTGCTGCCGAGGCCATTGCCAATAACTCCCCGGACTCGGTGATTGTGTCTCGGGAGGGACTGAAGAGCGGATGGGAGGCACTGGGGCCGGAGGATGCTACGGGGTTGGTAGATCGTACCATCTACCGGAAGATGGAGGCTGCAGAAAACATGACGGAGGGAGTCAAGAGCTTCGTTGAGAAGAGGAAGCCAGTGTGGGTTGACAGCAAGTTGTGAGTGGGCAGACGATCATGACCATTTGTATTATTACGGTTATCAGTCTGCACCTTCAATGTAAAACGATTCGCCCTTCGCACTACGTTACGGTACGTGACCGTTGGATATCATAAGCTTCCGCCATACACAACCCCTAAACCAGAGCACAAACAGCTCTTCCCCCAACTTTGACGGAGCCGACCAACTACTGGCCAAATTCCTTGTTCTCCACACGAAGCTCTCCGGAGCCAGACTCGGAGTCCTTCTCGACGACACCGTGCGTCGCATCGCCCGGGGTGCCCATGCTCGCCTTCCAGTGCAGCTGCACCTTTCCGCCGGTGAAGAGACGGTCGATCTGCTCGAGGCTGAGGTTCTGTGTCTCGGGGTAGAAGAACCAGATGAGGGGGATGAAGAAGAAGTTGAAGACGCAGAAGTAGACGTAGGTGCGCCAGCCGATGCTGTTGATGCTGACGGGCGTGATCTCGACGACGAGGAAGGTGAAGATCCAGTTGGAGGCCGTGGCGAGGGCGGCGGCGCGCGTGCGGATGGCCAGCGGGGCGTACTCGGCGGGCAGCAGCCAGGGGATGGCGAGCAGGCCGACGGCGAAGAAGAAGTTGAAGAGGAAGAGCATGACGATGGCGACGATGCCTGCGGGGACGCTGCCGTTAGAGACGGTGCCGGCGAGGATGGCCATGCAGGCGCACTGGCCGGCGGCGGCGAATAGCATGAGCTTGCGGCGGCCGAGGCGGTCGATGACCCAGATGGGGATGAGGGAGGAGAAGAAGTAGGCGATGCCGTTGAAGCCGGCGAGGAGGAGGGAGAGGTTGTGGGACATGCCGACGGACTCCTGGAAGATGACTGGGGCGTAGTAGGTAATCAGGTTGATGCCGGACAGCTGCTGCATGAACTGGCCGCCGATACCCAGCATGGTGCGGTAGAAGAACTTCTGGTCGCCGTTCTTGAACATCATCTTGAAGGATCCGGTGTTGGCGGCCTCGCGCTCCTCGCGGATGGCGGCTTGGATCTCGGCGAGGTTGGCCTGCAGCTTGGGGTCGTTCTCGGTGATGGAGTGGGCGTCCTTCTCGACGGCCCAGAGGATGTGGCGGGCTTCGTCGTGGCGGTCGTGGGCGATGAGCCAACGGGGGGACTCGGGCAGGACGAGGACGCCGAGGAAGGTGACGACGGCGAAGAGGATCTGCAGGGCGAGAGGGAAGCGGAACTGCGAGTCGTTTCCGACGTAGCTCATGCCGTAGTCAACCCAGTAACTGAGGGCCACGCCAAAGATGTTGATGGCGAGCTCGATGGCGAGACCCTTGCCTCGGTTATCCGCCTTCATCAACTCGGAGTGCCAAACAGCTAATAAGAGTGAGCATCTCTGTCCACGAACGATGGATGAATATCATCAACGACACTTACGAATTGTACTAGTATTCAAACCATTGCCTAGACCCGCTACGATTCTTCCAACGATCAACTAAAAAGAATATTAGTGAGTAACGAGTACACTTATGTATGCCGGTAATTGGCCCTTACCTGAGGGATTCCAAAAGAGGCGGCCTGTAACGCGGCTCCGATGCTTAGCACGATGCAGCCGAGCATGATGCACTTGCGACGTCCAAGACGCTCGCCGAAGATGAGACAGAAAATGGCGCCGAAGAAACATCCAATCTCGTAGATGGCCACGACGGTGCCCTGCAGCGAGGAACTGCCCCCGCCGCCGTTGGTGGTGTCGATCTCGGGAAACGTCCGGGTGAAGGCGTAGCCGGTGAGGAGACCTGACATTACACCTTGGTCGTAACCGAATAACAGGAAACCTAAATCCGCATGTTGAAAAAACATCCCGTCGCGAGCTACTAGAGTGTTGTCTTACCTGATCCGGCTGTGGCCGTGATGGCCCAGTTGAGAGGGCGACCCGTGAGGATGGTCATGATGGATGGCGGTGTTGATGGTGATGGCGATGAGTAAGGAGTGTGTGTACGTATGTTGTCGCTCGATATCCAAAACAACAAAATAAAAGGGTGGGGGAGGCTCTCGTGTCTCACGCGATGACTTGAATCGCGGACCGATGAGAGAGGGTGAGAGAGATCTGGGGGAGGAGGGTCAAGGCTAACTGGGTCGAAAAAAAGAAAAAGACAAGGCCCCTCTCACGATGGGATGGGGATTGCGTGGCTATCTATATGTGCAACTTCCAGTGACCATGGCTATGTGAGCTTTTGGTGTTGAGAGTGTGTGCATGCAAGTAAAGTAGGTACACGAAAAAGCAAAGACGAAGAAAAACTTCGCTACCAACAACCTCCTTTCGCCTCGTCTAACCACTAGGCGCCGCTACGAAACAACGTCATTTGATTGCAGCCAAAACCTTGGGGAACCTGTGTCAAATGCTGCATCTCCTCAACCCATGGAGCAACCTCGTCCCCTCCCCACAGGGTACCGGAGTGCGGGGACCCCAGCGCGGAGGTAATTAAGGCCAACCAAAGAAGACATGCGAATGGGACCATGGAACTGAAGATGGGGAGGGGGGGGCCGCGACGACGTGAACTGCAGCGGCACCCCGATGTCTGTTCTTGGGTTGCTGTGGGCAGTTGGAGGCGCTTCAATGGGCGGATGGCACGAAACTGACTCGCGACGACCTCTGTGGTTGTGAGAACCCGGCATGCGGGAAAAGACTTGAAGGGGGTTTTTTTTGTCCCTTTTTTTCTTTAGTAAAATTCTTTGTATGTACATCAAGTAGCGTGGTTTGTGTGTGTGTGTGCGCGCAATTTAATGCAATACGACCAACAGTTGTGGCCTGCCATTGGGGCCTAACAGCGGCGAGATGGCACCCAAGTCCCTGGCAGGTTTCCCGCGGGTTTTTTTCTTGGGGGAGAAAATTTGCCGAACCCAGCCATGCAATTGAACAATCGACATGGCTCATGGCCAAGGTCCGGAGGTGAATCCGGGGCCAGTGTCGATGGGTGGATGGTGGGATCGAGCGATGCCGCAACGGAACAGACAGGGATCAGGGTCAAATTCGCCGACTTAGGGCCACTCTGTGGAGGGGGCGTCGAACTGCCCTTTGCAAAGATGACAGGGCAGTTGAAAGCGCCCGCGCGGCCGGCGGGAGGACTGAGACTCAGACAACTCTG